GAGAGAGAGAGAGAGAGAGAGAGAGAGAGAGAGAGAGAGTGAGAGAGAGAATCTCATAAATTATGCGTTGATTTGAATGAATACAAGACATAATCGATGAATCGGTCGCAGACTGTGATCAGAAGATGAGAGCCTTAGAAAACAGACGCTTCAATGCATACAACGTTTTGCACATTAGTTTTTGTCGATTGCCTTCTCTTCCATAACACCAGAATGTTTTGCAGAATATTCTGCAGACCTCTGACCTAATTATGAGATTCTCTCTCTCTCTCTCTCTCTCTCTCTCTCTCTCAGTGCCGATAGGTTTGTGTAATAATAAAAAATGGTCTGAAAAACTGGAGACTCTATTTTGAGTTGAAGTGATTGATAAACGAAAGCGAAGCACAAAAAAGGGTTATTAACATACCTTTGCCTCATAGGTAGCCGAGCGCTGGCTTCGAGTTTCTGCCTTTTGTTTTGTTTAAATGCTAATCAATGATTGTTTTGTGTGTTATTCAATGATCTCTCTCTCTCTCTCTCTCTCATACATAAGCTCATTGGGTGGTCAGCCGCTTACTATTGTTTATTATCAATTGAAACCCTCATTTCTTACACCACTTTTATTACGACAAACTATATATAAGAGTTAATTCTTTGCCCATCTCTTTATGTTACCATAAATTCATCGCTTCTGTTGTTTAGACAATAAATTTAATCCAATTTTACGCTGAATTTAAAAAATATTTTACACATAAAAATACGCAAATTCTCACTACTTATAGCGTATATTAAACAGATTTATGACAATTGTTTTGTTTCGTATACACTATTGTAATGCTAAACAAATACCAAATCGCATTAGTATAGTAATGTCTGGCGTATATTATGGTCATTATATCTTAAAAATACATTTACAACTAATTTATATGAATATAAATAAATTCTATACAAAACAAAAAACATTACATTTTGATAAATTAAATGTGTATTACATTTATAAGAGATTAATCTTTATTCCCTATTATTAATAGTTATATAAATTATAATAAATTTGAATAAGAATTATAAAACTCCTTTAAAGTGTTAGTCCTATTAAGTTAATTTTCTTAATCCCAATATATATTAGATTAAAAAAGTTATTTTATATCTAAAATTACATCGTTTAATGATACACTTTTGCAAACCAAAAATATAAAATGTATTAACTTTATTGGCGGTATATACTGACATATTTTTAAATGTCCATGGATTCCTATATTATAAATTATAGTAATATGCAATGTATAGTAAATGTTCATTAATTATATATTAATATAATGAGACATCCAATAAAAAGTTCTCAATTATTAATTTTAACAAATTATAAGCGCATATAATTGTGATTCAAACATCTAATTGGCTGTTATGTTATTTTTCTTTCAATCTCTCAAAAATTTTCTAATCACATAATAATTACTTGTATTCATGTAATTATTAGCGCAACTCTTATGATAATAATAATAATATTTGTGTTTTTTTTTCATGGGTTATAGATATTTTTAGGCACACATTTCCTGCCGATCCCAAACACCGAACATTCCTTTTGTTACAAATTTTTCATTTAATTAATGACCAAAAATGTGTTCACAGAATGAAACTACTCACAAATGTATGCTTTAAGACAAGAGTCTCGTAGAAAGACTATATATTTTACTAGTAATAGGAAAAGGGTCAGTCTCTCTGAGCCTACTCTCACTTCTCCATTCATTCATTAGACAAATTCACTTCATGTATAATATAAGGTGTTTTTGTTTTCCACCCGTGCCTTAAATTCAATTATTTTTCGGCAAAAATTTAGTTATTTTTTGGGGTAAAACTGTCTGTTTTTTGCTGTTCTTGCTTTTCACCGGCCAATTATTATTTATATTTTCAGATATAATCCTATCTTTTAATTAAACGTTATCTAAAACCAGAATTTTTATAATAATATAATAATGACTTTATATAATTTTTGGCGCATATATTCATATAAATATTCATTTTTTAGTTTTAGAAATGAGATTTGAGTGTTATTTTGATTTTTTGTTTCAATTCTTGTTTTTTAAAGTTTTAGTTTTTAATGCAATTATTATTATTATTGTTATTTGTTATTATTATTCCACAATCTATCAAAATCCAAGTAATGGTTATTTTAAGTAAATTTCTGGAAATTAATTCCTGAAGAAAACATGTATTTTTCGTTTGGGAATATATTTTGTCCCAAAACACAAAATTGAATTCAAATATATAATGGGATTTGAATTCAAATGCAATAGTTTTCAATCATTGAATTGACACTTAAAGCGCTGCCAAACGAAAACATTTGATCACATTTTATACTTGTTTTTGGTGTTCATAATATCGGAGTTCACTTTAAATAAAACTAAAAATAAAATTACGATTTTCTGCATATCTTATCAATAATTTGTCATTACATACAACAGACTCTAAAACAAACAAAACGTTAGTATAGTTTTTTATCTTCAAAAAATCTGGTGTCGGTTTTGATGAATTACTTGGAAATACCGTATCGTTTAGTGAATAGCAATACATACACACAAAAAACATGCATAACTTATATATTCGGTACGACATGTAAATATAATTCGCATTCATTTGATGCCAACTGATATATACTGTATATACTATTAAGTATATGATATTGAGATTTATTTGGTTTACTCTTTAAGATAAATAAGGGTAAAGACTCGTTCAAATAAAATACGATTCAGTGAATGATGAGAGAGAGAGAGAGAGAGAGAGAGAGAGAGAACAAATGCATGATCTCGAGTATACAATATATGATAATAGGGGATACTGTGAGGCAGAGAGAGTTTGGACGTTGGAGGAGAGATGTATGTAGTCTGCCTCCCTCACTGTATCCCTCACTGCCTCACAGTATCCCCTATTATCATATATTGTATACTCGAGATCATGCATTTGCTGACACTAAAGCTTACAGACCTTATATACATTTAATATTGGATTCACGGCTGCTTACAGTGCGATAGTGTTGAGTGTAAGTGAGTGGCCATACATTTTGTGATCGCTATTATTATTTTTTATAGTAAACCTTCTCTGCATTTTTTCGCCCAAAACATAACACAAACTATAATTATGTATTTTAGAGAAGATATGAGAGAGAGAGAGAGAGAGAGAGAGAGAGAGAGAGAGTCTGTGGTGCAAAAAAACATTTTATTATTACTAATTAATAATATGCTCATCAGATACACAGCAGACATGCACTATAATTATCAGTAGTGATGGACTGATGGTTGTATAGCCAGTGATGGCGATATAATACCACGTCGTGGTTACCATTGAATTCACCTCTCAATCGCCCGGCCATACAATTATGACGGGCTATATCTCATGGGTCTATTGAGAGCTACTGTACTGCCATTTCTGCCACCACTGACTACTGGCCCTCACAGCAAAATACTTGATATGTGTTTGATGTGAAACAAAAAATCATGAGTTTGTGCCACAAATTTATTAAAATAGACTGCTTTTTGTGGCGAAAAATATATTTTTTTAACTTTACATTTTCAACATTAATAACGGAGGGAAAAATAGTGCATAAATTTTAAAATTCACTTTAATTTTTGCTGTCCTAACCTCAAAGTCAAACACAACATTAAAACCTCGTCCCTCTGTTGTGGTTAACACATGATAATAATGATGGCATATAATATCTCTTCTTTTAGATTAATAGTTATCAATAAAAACATTTATTATATATTTTATGAATTTCACACATATTTCTCTTTCACATACAATGACTGCAATAATAATTATGTAGAAAATGTTAAAATTTTTATTTGAATAATCAATACTTATATTCGAGTCAATTCACTCCGAGTAAAGATTTCAGAATTTAATTAATTATTTATTTTTTCCAAACAAAACAACAACAAAACAAAAAGTTTAAATGCTTTTTCGATAACACGAATAAAGTCTAAGAAACTAATATACATTTTTTATTTCATCAATAATTTATTGAACATTTTTCTTCTTTCGATAAAATATAGTATAACGCATGCCATATATTATACATCCATAGTATTCATAGATAATACATGTATAGATGAACGATATATTCTGTGGGAATATATGATGAGTTAAGCGGAAATGATAGCATATGTCCGAACAGTATTCACAGAGTGATACCTGTCAGCGTCTTGAGCGCCATTACCTCCTACGGGGTCTTCACTTCTTGATGGCTAATGTACTGCACCAGTGGTGCACACATTAAGAACTTGTATGCAAACCACAAGACAGAGAGAGTGAGACACTGGGGATAAGACATAAAACTGATATATACTTTATTTGTATGACAACTCTCTAAACCAGTACACCATTATTATAGTAAACCTTCTCTGCATTTTTTCGCCCAAAACATAACACAAACTATAATTATGTATTTTAGAGAAGATAAGAGAGAGAGAGAGAGAGCTAAACATACAGAGAAGGAGCGGAGAGAATATTACTCAAACATTATGGTTATCATTGAAAAAGCATTTTCGGTGTCATTCGCAGACAAAAATCATATATTATTTCGTATTATGATATGATATATAATATGTGGGCCTTTTAGGCAACCATTTGATAGAGTGAGGGCTCGCACGCGGATCAGCTCAGAAAGAGAAGGTTTTTCTTTTGATGCCAACACAAAAACAAATGAAAAATGGTCACAAACTGCCGGTCCTCTGATTTAATGCCCACACATATACATAGAGTGAATGACAAAACCGGTAACTTTTCTGCCAAATGTGATATAAGTTTTGGTCATTGAGTGTGACGTAAACCCGAAATGAAATCTTTTGCTCATATATTACCGTCGATTGTGAGACACACAGAGAAAGAGAAGTAAAGTATTTACGAGAATATATATAAGAGTACCGATAGTTTATGGATAATAAAAATGCCTAAGGATTTAGTGGTTGGTTGTGGTAGTGTTCGCTGTGTTCTCGCAGGCAATTGCCTTACTTTATAATCGCAATACCAATTCATAATATAATACATACACTACTTGTCTTGTACTGTACTGTATGTATGTGTCTGTATATGTCTGACACACACACTGTGTTCACTGTGTTGTACATCATTTGCAAACAGAATGAGGGAATCGGAGGGAATGTTGTGTTTTTAGTACTGTTCATACGGTTCTCTATTAAGATCCGGCTTCACTTTTATGATCGATTTGTTAGTTTTTTCTCTCAAATAATACCACTAATAATAAGAATAAGTTTTTCCTTTCTCTCAAATGTTGTACTGGTTTAGAGAGTTGTCATACAAATAAAGTATACATCAGTTTTATGTCTTATCCCCAGTGTCTCACTCTCTCTGTCTTGTGGTTTGCAATTAGTTTTTTACCATGTTTTGCATGTAATCCATAATTTGTTGACTCTATTGTTTTAACGTCTATTTCCATGTCTTTTCCAGTACTAACCGGCGGATCGCCCGGAGAGCCAGACTTAGACGACAGTATAGTTAGTCCCCCAGAGCTAGACATGGGAGCGCATGGGGCCGACTCTGACCACGACGACGATAACCTGTTAGGCATCGGCACATTGCCGTCGCTCAGTAGCATTGGTCGCGGTTCGGGTCATCACTCGGCGGTCATGTCCAGCAAGAGTTCTCCGATGTCGGCCAGCAGTTCAATGAGCGACTCGGGTATCAGCGGTCCGAACGGCACGAACGGCGCCGGCGATCCACAGTCGCCGACACACGCGTCCGGTTCTAACAGCGCCGGTAACGACGAGAACCAACCCGGAGGTACCAAACGCCGGGGCCCGAGAACTACCATTAAGGCCAAACAGTTGGAGACATTAAAGGCCGCGTTCGCCGCCACACCGAAACCCACCCGACATATTAGGGAACAGTTGGCTCAGGAGACCGGACTAAACATGCGAGTCATACAGGTATGTGTCGCACACCACTCCACCGGTGCTTTCATTTATTTTTACCCCCAAACTTGTTGTGCACTCGTATATAATGGGAGCGAAAAATTATATGTATTTAGTTTGTTAGCCATAAGTGTTATTGAATGCACTGTAATGGCAACCGCTGTGCCATTCAATGCATTATCAAACAGGCCTTCTTCTTGTACTTCTTTAGCGAGCGATAGCACTCACCTCTCAGTGCACACAACACACCAGCCATAAGATGGTTGTGCTATAAGTCACTCCTAAGTCCGCCCGAGGAGTCAGATCTCTGGGATCGAGACATAAATTATGCTTTGAATGCCAACACAACAAGAATTATTATTTCTTCTCTCTCTTTAAAAAGTTGGGGCTTTTTTGATGATAAAGTGATGCGTCAGTTGAAGGGTTCATAATTTGGGAGTTTATCTGTAGGCGCACCTCAATGTGTGTGCAAAAACTTTAACTCTCACTCTGTATAGTGTATTATGCACTGTATTATGTATGGTGTACTGTATATATAGTGTACGATCTCTGATATTATTGGCAATTTACATGTCAACCGCTGTACCTCTTCGGGGCAAACCATTACCCCCGACACACACTCTATACTCTACTACACATTAAACACAAATTTACATATTATTATGTAATTCTGGAGAACCAGAAGAAAAGTTACGAAATAGAGAGAGAGAGAGAGAGAGAGAGAGAGAGAATGAGATGAGCTTTTGGGTGATAGATATCTCAAAAGTTTCCCTACACTTTGATGCAAGCGTTTGTTGGGCTCAATACTACT